TCACACACTGGCCGGACACAAACCCTCGTGAAAATTATACCATATTCTAACGTCGCAATAATACCAGGCTGTCCACACTAAGATTCATCCACCATATTAGCTAATGTCTCCAAGGTATATAAAGTTACTGTTATTCTCCTCCATTTTTGTTTTGACATTTGGAGACGACATTTCCCAGCTTGGTTGATACCTGGTTGATGGGGTTCTGGGAGTTCTTCTACTCCCCAAGCCCGGGCCGAGGCCAGGCTTGACTTGTGAGAGTTTGGTCCACCAGGCTGTTGCTTGGTGCGGCCCGCAGGCCCACATACCCACCACAGCCCGGTTGGTCCGGCACTCCTTGGAGGAGTTAGTTAGTTACTATGGCAGTGACAGGTGTGGGACGCCGTTTTGAAGGAAGCTGAAGGGTGCAGACTTATGAAGCAATGTGTCGCAGCTCTACATAAGGAGTCGACAGCCTGCAGATACCTTCAACAGGTCTTCACTAAGCTGTCTTACACAATATTACAATGCAAAGTTTTAGGGCAATAACGGCCATTTTCTATACTATGGTACTTTTGTCTCCAGTGCTCTCTAGGGTGGACTATTGCTGCCCACTAACCCCCCCCCCCCATTCAAAGCTGGAGAAATTGCTTACCTGGGGAACATGCAGAGATCTTTTACTGGCCGAATTTATTCAATAAATCATTTAAATTATTGCGAACATTTATTTCTAAACACGTTTTCTCTAGACAAGTGAAAATATTAAAAGGTAAATGGTTGGAAACCTGCACACAGAAGAAGAAGAAGTAAGTAAAAATTCACCAATTTCAAATTAAATAAACTTATTTAAAATTTCACTAATTGTTATTTTATTCATTATGGGCTCAGAATGGCATATAACGTTCAATTTTATTTCTTTAAAATTTTGTTTGAGAGTATAGTTTACTGTAAAAAAAAATAGTTAACGTGGCCTTCAAAATATGCGAAAAATTTTGACGTAAATAAATGTATAACTCCCAAAGTTATGGATTTATGAATAAACGGCAGAAATGAAACTTTAGAACTAAGAACGTTGCGCACAACATGTAAAAATGGTGAGAGTCGCTCAGAAACTGTATTTATTATTCAGACTCAAAGTTAAAATTCCTGTTAAAGAGAAAATTGAAGTTGAATATGGTAGTTCTAATTTATCAATTTACTTGTATATTTTAATAAACATTGCTTGGCATTCGTACTCGAATATGTGAAAGTTTTTTGTCAATATGTGTTGAAATGAAGTAAACAAAAAAAAAACTGTCCCCAAGAAACCTAATATAGTGATAAGGATAACGGGATAATATGTATACTTTATATAAGTGATAAGGCCCGCATCTCGTCATTAAAACAACCTAAAGAAACAAAGACAATAGTTTGAAATCTGTAAATTTTTCGACCAAAATACAAAATAAAAGTCACAATTTTGCCACCTTAGGCTGATTAACTTGTTGACCAATTTCATTCACCCTTCACATACACAGTGGCGGCGATGTATTCTCCAACATGTAGGCACTGCAACAAAATCAGATTATAAACAAAGGAGAAAAACAACAACAGAAACTCCAAAAACAACAAATTTGAAAAAATAGGAAATGGTTAATCTAACAGATATTGGCATGGGCAATGTTACGATGTGATATATAACAAAATAGAGCATAATAACATACTTACTCATTATTATTTGTGTTATTATGTATTAGTAATGAGTATAGGGGAGCCGGTCGGCCGAGCGGACAGCACGCTGGACTTGTGATCCTGTGGTCCTGGGTTCGATCCCAGGCGCCGGCGAGAAACAATGGACAGAGTTTCTTTCACCCTATGCCCCTGTTACCTAGCAGTAAATAGGTACCTGGGTACCTATTTACGTCAGCTGTCACGGGCTGCTTCCTGGGGGTGGAGGCCTGGTCGAGGACCGGGCCGTGGGGACACTAAAGCCCCGTAATCATCTCAAGATAACGGAATGTTATAAAGGCTCCAGCTGTATATCCTCTTTGAGGCACTTCTAACTACTATTCTTCTTGGTTGTACTCTTCTCCTTATCATCAGAACGCTGCTCTTTGTTCTTCCTAAATAATCATATAAAATCCATTTCTTAACACTAGGATAAAATGTTCAGCAGGACGCCGATGCCAGATAACGTGAGATTTGTTTAACAGTTTTCAAAATTTGTCATATTTGGACGAATGTCTTAGAGCAGCCGGCCCCTTAAACAGCTGAGGTGGAACTGGAACACTAAGAAGGGGAAGGGAATTATTAGGGCAAGCGCCAAGTTATTACGACTATAAATCCTTATCCTAACCCCTTCCTAAGGGAAGGGGTCAGGATAAGGATTTGGGATGGGACGGGGAGGAGGAATGGTGCCCAACCACTTGGACGGTCGGGGATTGAACGCCGACCTGCATGACGCGAGACCGTCGCTCTACGGTCCAGCCCAAGTGGTTGGGTGTAGGAACATTAAGAGAGAACTTCTCTAAGTGACCTCAAGCGAACACTCCTTCCCGGCCTCTTACACATTACATCACTTTTCGCTCGTATGCGCTCGTAAGGCCAAAAAAAGGCCGTAATTTGAAAATGAAAAATAATTGAAAATAAATTTTGGAATTATTGTTTTCCAAACCAGCAAGTTAAGGGTCGTCTGGTAGGTTAGGAGGGCAGGAAGTTCTCATAAGGTTTTTAAACGTCACCAAAACCGTTAATTGAACGTTTCCTCTCCTAACCTAACAGCCTAAGCCAGAGGACCCAAAACAGAAAACAGGACAGCACGTCCCTTTTGTGAGCCGATTTAATTTTCAATTACGTCCATTTTTACGTTCATTTTACGTCCATTACGTCCATGCGCCAAAGTGCGCATACCAGCGAAAAGCGACGTTATTTGTATGACGGAACATTTGTGTTGGAGGAACATATATTAGGGACATACCTGGCCGACCTCTTACAGTGTTGAGTGTTCCATCACCGAGAACACTGGATAAACACCTCTGAAGAATACCTGATCAACCAGGCTGTGATTCATACGTCAGGCTCCGAGCAATGGCGTCTAAAAGCTGCTGGTTGACAAGACCACCAACTTAGGAAGGCCGGTCGGTCTGAGACCGGGCCGGCCGGGTATTGATTCGCGGAACCAACAAATAGACAACAGGTAAGTTTCCGGCGTGGCCCGGGTCTCCCCCCCCCCCTCCCTCTCCCCTTTCTTCTCCACCCACTTTCTCAATATCCTCCCCCCCCCCTCTCTCTCTCTCTCTCTCTCTCTCTTCTGTTCAACCCGTCCCCCGCTCCACTCTCTCTCTGCCTATATATATATATATATATATATATATATATATATATATATATATATATATATATATATATATATATATATATATATATATACATACATATATATATATATATATATATATATATATATATATATATATATATATATATATATATGATCATTCATTCAGCAGTAGAATAGTCATTCTACTTTGCTCTGATGAAGGCGATGTAGCCGAAAACGCGTTAAGCATTCTCTATTTTTTTCACATGTGGTTTTTCCGCATACTTAGATCAGTGTTTTTTGATTATTGTTGCATATATATATATATATATATATATATATATATATATATATATATATATATATATATGTCGTACCTAGTAGCCAGAACGCACTTCTCAGCCTACTATGCAAGGCCCGATTTTCCTAATAAGCCAAGTTTTCCTGAATTAATATATTTTCTCTAATTTTTTTCTCATGAAATGATAAAGCTTCCCATTTCATTATGCATGAGGTCAATTTTTTTTATTGGAGTTAAAATTAACGTAGATATATGACCGAACCTAACCAACCCTACCTAACCTAACCTAACCTATCTTTATAGGTTAGGTTAGGTTAGGTAGCCGAAAAAGTTAGGTTAGGTTAGGTTAGGTAGGTTAGGTAGTCGAAAAAACATTAATTCATGAAAACTAGGCTTATTAGGCAAATCGGGCCTTGCATAGTAGGCTGAGAAGTGAGTTCTGGCTACTAGGTACGACATATATATATATATATATATATATATATATATATATATATATATATATATATATATATATATATATATATATATATATATATATATATATATATATATATATATATATATATATATATATATATATATATATATATATATATATATATATATATATATATATATATAAATACATATATGTGTGTATATCACGAAAATAAACACGTGATTAAGAATGTGACAATGTCAGACCACGGAGGAAAAATGAAACAGGAAATTTCCTTAAGTACTTTCGTATATTAAATACATCTTCAGAAGGACCTTCTGAAGATGTATTTAATATACGAAAGTACTTAAGGAAATTTCCTGTTTCATTTTTCCTCCGTGGTCTGACATTGTCAAATACATATATATATCTTCCAGCCAGAGGTGGTACTCCCTTCCCTATATATATATATTGTATGTATGTATGTATGTATGTATGTATGTATGTATGTATGTATGTATGTATGTATGTATGTATGTATGTATGTATGTATGTATGATAAAGAAGGAGGTATAATGGGTTGTAAACCGGCTCCTCTCACACCTTACAGTAACGGATGGCAGCGTGTAATAAGTAGAGTGAAAGTCCAACTCCTATGCCGTACAGTAGGTAGACTCGCGTCTGGTTAAAAGTGTTGATTGGCAAATTTTTCTTATATAATACAATATAATTACAAGCACCAAATTATCCATAAGAAATAACAACGCAATTCTGACCATCATATATAAATTGAATTATTGAAACAGTAATATATTACAATTAAAATATATGCAGAGCAAAATATCAACCAGGAAAATCATCAGAGATGGGTCCGAGCTATTTACCGAGCTTATATCGGCGGAAGACTCGCTCTTGTGTAGAGTTTCACTTTAAGCGTACTATCTGCTCAGGGAGAGCTAGTCGCCGAGCTTACTCAAGCCCGCCTGGGACGTCACCGAAGAGACTTCGTCATCAGTTTGGTTTGGAACTTTGTGTAGTGAGGATGATGCACTCTTTCATTAGAGGATTTACATGAGTGCTTCAATATGGAGTAGGATAACTCGATACATCCCCATGTGCACGCTGGAGCAAGATGGTGAGAGAGACACGGCATCTCTGGGTAGGAAATTTGCCCGAGAACATAAGTGAAGAAAGAATTAAGGAACATTTCAAACGGTACGTGAGGCCAGTGGTGGCGGCGGCCGTCGCCGTGGACGGCTGGCTGGCCTGGTTTGTGTGTTGGCGCTTGCCATTGTGCTGCCATATTGGCCATGTTTTTATATGTGCTGTCTGTTGGTGCGTGTGTGTGGTTGTGGTGACGCCAGTGAAGTGGTGTAGGCCGCTTAGGTTGTGAATGTTGCATCACGTGGTTATTAGTGTTGAGGCGCCGTGGGCCTGCTGCTGCTGCTGCAGGTGACGCCCTCGCGTGCTGCTGGCGGGGGTGCTGATGGTGGGAGGCGGGAGAGGTGCACCAGTGTACACCACTCCAGTCCCCCCCCCCTTCCCCCTGGAGCCCTGGTATGGTATACTTCAGCTTGGTAGTGAATGGTGAGCTCCCCACGGTGAGTATATCAGCCGTGGCTGACCCCGTCACCTGGCCGCCCACCACCTCCTCACACCACCCACTACTTAGGGCTCAGCTCCTCCTTATTAACATCCTCCCCCCCCCCAGGTTGGTCAAGTTATCCACCAGAGTAACATGTCAGCAGGTGTGTGTGGCGCCCACACCTGCAGCAGTAGCTACACGCCGGATGCTGCTGCTGCTCTCCACAGTCATCTCTGGCTGAGGGCATGACCATCATACTCGTGATGGAGGGTAAATATGCCCTGGCATACTCCTCTGCCCCTCCCCCCACCCCCAGCATCAGTGCCAGGGGGGGAGGGGGGCATCATATCACATGTCACTTCCTCGTTAATTTCACTCTATCAGAGGCTGTTGTACACGTCAACACACTCACACACACGTCAACACACTCACACACACGTCAACACACACACACACGTCAACACACACACACGTCAACACACTCACACACACGTCAACACACTCACACACACGTCAACACTCACACACACGTCAACACACTCACACACACGTCAACACACTCACACACACGTCAACACACTCACACACACGTCAACACACTCACACACACGTCAACACACTCACACACACGTCAACACACTCACACACACACGTCAACACACTCACACACACACGTCAACACACTCACACACACGTCAACACACTCACACACACTTCAACACACTCACACACACGTCAACACACTCACACACACACACGTCAACACACTCACACACACACACGTCAACACACTCACACACACACACGTCAACACACTCACACACACACACGTCAACACACTCACACACACACACGTCAACACACTCACACACACACACGTCAACACACTCACACACACACACGTCAACACACTCACACACACACACACGTCAACACACTCACACACACACACACGTCAACACACTCACACACACACACGTCAACACACTCACACACACACACGTCAACACACACACACACACACACACGTCAACACACTCACACACACACACGTCAACACACTCACACACACACACGTCAACACACTCACACACACACACGTCAACACACTCACACACACACGTCAACACACTCACACACACACGTCAACACACACACACACACACACGTCAACACTCACACACACGTCAACACACACACACACACACACACACACACACACACACACACACACACACACACACACACAACACACACACACACACACACACACACACGTCAACACACACACACACACACACACGTCAACACACACACACACACACACACACGTCAACACACACACACACACACACGTCACGTCACACACACACACACACACACACGTCAACACACACACACACACACACACACGTCAACACACACACACACACACACACACGTCAACACACACACACACACACACACGTCAACACACACACACACACACACACGTCAACACACACACACACACACACACACGTCAACACACACACACACACACACACGTCAACACACTCACACACACACACGTCAACACACTCACACACACACACGTCAACACACTCACACACACACACACGTCAACACACTCACACACACACACGTCAACACACACACACACACACACGTCAACACACTCACACACACACACGTCAACACACTCACACACACACACGTCAACACACTCACACACACACGTCAACACACTCACACACACACGTCAACACACTCACACACACACGTCAACACACACACACGTCAACACACACACACACACACACACGTCAACACACACACACACACACACACACACGTCAACACACACACACACACACACACGTCAACACACACACACACACACACACACGTCAACACACACACACACACACACACCTCAACACACACACAAACACACACACGTCAACACACACACACACACACACACGTCAACACACACACACACACACACACACGTCAACACACTCACACACACACGTCAACACACTCACACACACACGTCAACACACTCACACACACACGTCAACACACTCACACACACACACGTCAACACACTCACACACACACACGTCAACACACACACACACACGTCAACACACTCACACACACACGTCAACACACTCACACACACACGTCAACACACTCACACACACACGTCAACACACTCACACACACACGTCAACACACTCACACACACACGTCAACACACTCACACACACACGTCAACACACTCACACACACGTCAACACACACACACACACACACACACACGTCAACACACTCACACACACACGTCAACACACTCACACACACACGTCAACACACTCACACACACACGTCAACACACTCACACACACACGTCAACACACTCACACACACACGTCAACACACTCACACACACACGTCAACACACTCACACACACACGTCAACACACTCACACACACACGTCAACACACTCACACGTCAACACACTCACACGTCAACACACTCACACGTCAACACACTCACGGGGCCTCGTAGCCTGGTGGATAGCGCGCAGGACTCGTAATTCTGTGGCGCGGGTTCGATTCCCGCACGAGGCAGAAACAAATGGGCAAAGTTTCTTTCACCCTAAGTGCCCCTGTTACCTAGCAGTAAATAGGTACCTGGGAGTTAGTCAGCTGTCACGGGCTGCTTCCTGGGGTGTGTGTGTGTGTGTGTGTGTGTGTGGTGTGGAAAAAAAAAGTAGTTAGTAAACAGTTGATTGACAGTTGAGAGGCGGGCCGAAAGAGCAAAGCTCAACCCCCGCAAAAACACAACTAGTAAACACAACTAGTAAACACACGTCAACACACTCACACGTCAACACACACACACACGTCAACACACTCACACGTCAACACACTCACACGTCAACACACACACACGTCAACACACTCACACGTCAACACACTCACACGTCAACACACTCACACGTCAACACACTCACACGTCAACACACTCACACGTCAACACACTCACACGTCAACACACACACACGTCAACACACTCACACGTCAACACACTCACACGTCAACACACTCACACGTCAACACACTCACCCGTCAACACACACACACACACACACACGTCAACACACTCACACGTCAACACACTCACACGTCAACACACACACACACACACGTCAACACACACACACACACACGTCAACACACACACACACACACACACACACACACACACACACACACACACACACACACACACACACACACACACACACACACACACACGTACGTCAACACACACACACACACACACACACACACACGTCAACACACACACACACACGTCAACACACACACACGTCAACACACACACACGTCAACACACACACGTATGCTGCGCCATCATGGAGCCCCCACCTGAAGAAACACATAAAGAAACTGGAGAAGGTTCAGAGGTTTGCGACGAGGCTTGTCCCAGAGCTACGAGGGATGGGATATGAAGAGCGGCTGAAGGAACTGAACCTTACGACACTAGAGAAAAGAAGGGAGAGAGGAGATATGATAGGGACATATAAAATACTCAGGGGAATTGACAAAGTGGAAATAGATCAAATGTTCACACGTAATAATAACAGAACGAGGGGACATGGGTGGAAACTGGAAACTCAGATGAGTCACAGAGATGTTAGGAAGTTTTCTTTTAGCGTGAGAGTAGTAGAAAAGTGGAATGCACTTGGGGAACAGGTTGTGGAAGCAAATACTATTCATACTTTTAAAACTAGGTATGATAGGGAAATGGGACAGGAGTCATTGTTGTAAACAACCGATAGCTAGAAAGGCGGGATCCAAGAGTCAATGCTCGATCCTGCAAGCACATATAGGTGAGTACATATAGGTGAGTACACACACGTCAACACACACACACGTCAACACACACACACACACGTCAACACACACACACACACGTCAACACACACACACACACACACGTCAACACACACACACACACACACACACACACACACACACACACACACACACACACACACACACACACACACACACACACACACACGTCAACACACACACACACACACACACGTCAACACACACACACACACACACACGTCAACACACACACACACACACACGTCAACACACACACACACACACACGTCAACACACACCACACACACACACGTCAACACACACACACACACACACGTCAACACACACACACACACACACGTCAACACACACACACACACACGTCAACACACACACACACGTCAACACACACACACACACACACACGTCAACACACACACATACACACGTCAACACACACACACACGTCAACACACACACACACGTCAACACACTCACACTCACTCACTCACTCACTCACTCACTCACTCACACACACACACACACACACACACACACACACACACACACACACACACACACACACACACACACACACACACACACACGTCAGCACACAGACACACACACACACACCCACCCCGTCAACACACACACACACACACACACACACGTCAGCACACAGACACACACA